TTATGTAGGGTTTTCGCTCTTTCTATCCTTCTAGCGTGGTGATGCTCAGGATGCATACTTCTAGGTAATGGAGGCACCAGACATTACCCTTTTGCCTCCAGCGGAATGTCTTTTTTGACCCCATGTTGTACGTTGTACATGACGCCAATTGTGTCCTAAATATACCTGCCCGTAGTGCTCTGAGTTAACCGATAATAATACTGCAGTATTAATAGAGCTAATAGAGGCCCACACACTGCCCCGCTGCGGTGGTCTAGTGGCTAAGGTACTCGGCTCCTGACCCGCAGGTCGCGGGATCGAATCCCGGCTGCGGCGGCTGCATTTCCGATGGAGGCGGAAATGTTGTAGGCCCATGTGCTCAGATTTGGGCACACGTTAAAGAACCCCAGGTGGTCAAAATTTCCGGAGCCCTCCACTACGGCGCCTCTCATAATCATATGGTGGTTTTGGGACATTAAACCCTACATATCAATCAATACAGGCCCACACGATAACGCATGTGCCATCGTGTGGTCCTCTATTATCATAGTGTGGGCCTCTATTACCTCTGCGAGTGTGTTATGTAGCCTATAGAGCCCAGAACTTGTCGTTCGTCGTATTTAGCGGTAGACATATAAATTATGCTTTCCTAATGATGTAATCTATTTTGCTCTGTTCGGCTGTGTGTAGTTTAGTTTAAGATATGGGGCGAAAGCCTGGACCTAAACGAATTTGTGTTCCTTCATACCATATCTTTTGTTGGCCATTCGTTGGCTATTCGTATATATATATATATATATATATATATATATATATATATATATATATATATATATATATATATATATACATATATATATATATATATATATATATATATATATATATATATATATATATATATATATATATATATATATATATATATATATTTGGTATTTCTTGAAAGTCTTCCTGGATTCCGGTCGAGTTATAAGTCACCAGAAGAAGCGAACGAGCAAACGAAAAAGGATGCTTTATTGCCAACGTTACGGCCGGGGACCGGCCTTCACGTATGCTTCACGTATGCCCTGACGAAGGCCGGTCCCCGACCGTAACGTTGGCAATAAAGCATCGTTTTTCGTTTGCTCGTTCGCTTCTTCTGGTGACTTATATATATATATATATATATATATATATATATATATATATATATATATATATATATATATATATATATATATATATATAAGGGAGAGAAGTGTATACCTAAGGGCTCGTATTTCCGTGTTTTAACACAATATTAATGAGATATAACAGACAGTAATGCCAAGGAATGTACAGGAGAAGTTATTAGAACCAATGGAATGTAAATAAGAAGAAAGAAAAGTGGATGAAAAAATTACCAGCTTATATATATATATATATATAAGAAGTATCATGCTGGCCCTGATAGTGTGGAAAGAAGCGTAATTCACACAACGAACGTTTCAGCACAGTTTAGTCCGACGTTTCGGCCGTGGGACTGGCCTTCGTCTGGGGATACAGAGCATATATATATATATATATATATATATATATATATATATATATATATATATATATATATATATATAGATCGCATTACTGTGACTGATCATCACTGTATACCGAAACGCGAGTCATATTTGCGCTGTCTCATTTGATTAGGACCGATCGTTCTACTATCCTCTATGCTATGCCACTGCTTCGCGAGTACTCACTGTGTTCATACGTAAATCGTCTTTCATGGCAGGATTTTGCTGTCACTGAGTAGTATCAACGGCCCGGCTGCTATGTAGCGTGTGACTCCCGCTTACAATGTGTCGTGTTTTCTCATTGTATGAAGCTAATTCCCACGGTGCGTAGATGAACTGTGGCCTAGCCCCTTCTCATTCGTGTCATCTTCACAGCCGGCGCGCACACGTGCGTCACGTTGTCCGCACACTATAGCTAACAGTTCGCGCTTAGCTCTCGCGCGGACGTACATAGGTGTGGGCGCCGCCGCCTCGAGAATACAAATTACGCCGTCGCAGCGTCTGCGTCTCCACTGGATGCGCGCTGTCCTCTAATGGCCACAGCAGAGAATGACGCACTCGGCCGCTTGCACGCCTTATCGCGACGCAATAGATTCGGCAAGCAAGCCTAATCGGTGTGCCCTGCCAATAGTTACTGCTTTCTGGCTGGCGGCTCAGCTGCATGCATGTGAGCAGCGTGGCTAATACGATGTAGTCGACGTCAGTGGAAAGTTCATTTGTCCTGTCATTCTCTCCTAAGCATTCTTAACGAAAAAAAAAGTGGACTACAAGTATTCTGCCTGCAAGGTGGTGGCCAGTTTTCGTTAGCTTTGTGGTCGATTATATATATATATATATATATATATATATATATACACGTAAAGAATCGCCATAATGGAAAGGAATAGCCTAAAAAAACCATTCCCGGCCTTTGATCGACGTCACTGGTGGAGGGAAAGTGCAGCTACCTTCGTTCGAGGATGGGCCGGTCTCTTTGAGTTATCGTAGCAGCCGCGCTTTAGTCGCCGTTTGTCAACTGGGGGATGTAGGGAGGGAGAAAGGGCTGCGCAGATTAGATGGTCGGACGTCATAGAATGACCACAGAAGTTAAAAAACAGCGCTAAAAAGACGGGACAAGACCTGTCCTGTTGTCCTTTCTTTTCTTGTCCCGTCTTTTTAGCGCTGTTTTTTAACTTCTGTGAACATGAACCAACCAGCCCAAATGCGTACGCTTCCATAGAATGACGTCATCTGAAGGAGCAGGGGTGAACTGGCGTGGGCAGTTCGGTCAGCATAAAAAGTAGGTGCCACCGATACCAGGAAGCCCCTTCGCCTTGTTTTTCTCCCTGCCCTGCCCGAGAACGATGTTTCTTGCTGACGTTCGGACGCGTGGACACCGCAGTCGAAAGCATGGGAAGACGTCAGACATTATCTATGGTGCTCATTTCGGAGTGATTAAAGGAATGCCCAACAGGCATTCGCAGAATGTTTCGTTTGCCACGACGTGGATAAAAACAGCGGAAACTAAGTGCAGCTCTGCGCTCCGTGTGTGCGCCGCAAAGTACCTGTGCCTCCATGGCGGCGTCATTGGCTGCCTTGGCGAAGTACAAGAACACCCGTGTACTTATATTTATGGGACCAACCCCAGTTGGTCAAATCAAGCCGGAGTTCCCCAACGAGGCGTGCCTTCTATCGTGGTTTTCGTACGTGAAGGATCAAAAATTGCTTACTCTCTTGATTTTTGTTGTTGTGACTGATTGAAGCTGGCCGCAGAAGGAGACCACGTCTTTGAAATAGACACGCTACGTTCAAATACAATGTCGTAAAGAAAGGGGGATGCCTGTATAAATTGTCAAGTATAAAGCTACAAAAAAAAGCTGCGCATTTTGATGAACACCAAGCATAATAGTATTTGAATCAGATATAATTCAAAAAAGTCCGTAACGTACGCACCATGGCGAGTTTAAGAACTAATCCTTCCTGTGTCCTTTAAGAACTAATCCTTCCAGCATGTATAGTTGTGAGAGGTATACTTCTCACAACTATACATGCTGAACATTGGCGTATTCGACGGTGAGGCGTTACATGCATACTGCTGCTGCAGTAATGTATATTGGGAATACCTTGTAAACACTGTATAAATCTTCTCTGCTCTTGGATTCTCTGATTGTGTTTCATGTCTTGTGTTTGTTTTTACTCTTTTTTGTTATAAATTAGTATACACTGTATAATCTGCTTAGTTAAACTGTATGAATTAACCTTTTCGTGTGCATGTCAGTTGGTGATGCGTGAAAACCTGCTCGTACATTTAACCTTAGAACGTAGAACTTGTGCATTCACGTCACTTTATCCGCACCGTTCAACTATAGAGCACTGTCTGGCGAGTCAATTTTTTTTTTACTAGTATTTCGGAGTGTTGTAACGTGATTAACGGACACTCTGTCATGTAATTTTACGCAGTCAGTTTGAGTGAGCCATCGTGTAACGCAGGACAGCGGGACGTGTTTGTTTCAGTATAACGTTTCTCGCAAGATGCGTGTAAACCATAACGGTCGGGAGTGACTACACGAAGCGTGTTCGCACGCTGTGTCTCCATGCAGGACGAGACCGTGCGCCGACGGGAAACTTCAGTGTATACGTGCACTTGGATGTGTCTTCTTCGGCTTCGCGACTGATTCAGCCCCTCATCGTTCACGTACTTAAAGGGGCCCTGCAACACTTTTTGAGCATGTTCAGAAAATGCTGCCGATCGGTAGTAGAGGCTCCCGACAACACACGAACCAAATATTATAGCGCAGCGCGCGGCCTGGAATACACTATAAATTATCAAAGTCAGCAAAAAAAATTGCTGTATTATATCTCGACAAATCACGCAATTAGCCCAAAAATCACTCGTAGTAAGCGCATCTTTCCATTATTGGCTGATTTGAACATGGCGCGCTCGGTCGTTACAGAGATCGCCGCGGGAGGCCGTCACTTGTCCACGCGTGGGCGCGCGATCGCACTGAAAAAGCCACGTATTAGAAGGAAAAAAGAAGAAAAAAGTGCTCAAGGTCACGTGCGCCTCGTGACCTTGAGCACTTTTCACACTCCCATCCCTCCCTGTAACACTCCCATCCCTCCCTGCTTACCTTCCAGCGCTTCCGTCGGGATGAGAGAAGAGAGAATGTGATTGCAGCGTGTGACAATCCTTTGTAACTTTGCTCGTACTGTACGGATTCTTAAAAGTTTTGCGGCGTGGAATTTGTGAGGCAATACGCTTTTCCAGTGAATTAATTTCATGGTTACTCAAAAAAGTGTTTCAGGGCCCCCTTTAGGTTAACCGTAAAACATGCGTGTGTATATCATGTGTAAACGTAGTCGCAACTGCACAAAGCTAAGCGCAAATTAAAATGGAGTTGCTTTTGGTGTTTCATAGGTGCAATACGGCCACATACACGCGATTTTGTACGTTATTGGGTTATCTTTAGACTTGTGCTACATGCCGTCCTCTTTCTCTCGCAGCAGCGCCTCGTGAAGCAGCACCGGCCACACCATGGGAGGCGTCGGCGTCGAGGCCCCGCTGAACCTGCTCAACATCAAACCCAACTACTCGTTCGAGTTCGACTTCGAGGTGAACTTCGACAAGGACCAGAACCGGTTGTGGATGAACCGAAACTGGCACACGTCCGTCTATTGGGTGGGCCTCTACATGCTCGTGGTTTTCGGTGGCCAGGCGTTCATGGCCCAGAGGCCGCCCTTCAAGCTAACGCGGCCGTTGCAGGCCTGGAACCTGCTTCTCTCCGTGTTCAGCGTGGTGGGAGCCTGTCGCACCATCCCCGAGCTGATCCACGTGCTGCGCGAGTTCGGTTTCTTTCACTCTGTGTGCAACAACTCGTACATCGAGTACGACCGCGTTTCGGGTTTCTGGACCTGGATGTTCGTTCTGAGCAAGGTCCCTGAGCTGGGCGACACGGTGTTCATCATTCTGCGCAAGAAGGAGCTCATCTTTCTCCACTGGTACCATCACATCACGGTGCTCATGTTCTCCTGGTACTTCTACCAGCAGCATATCGCGCCCGCGCGCTGGTACGTCGTCATGAACTACGTGGTCCACTCGCTCATGTACTCGTACTTCGCGTTGCGCTCGTTCCATGTGCGCATGCCCCGCGTGATTGGCGTCTGCATCACCTCTCTCCAGATCATGCAGATGCTCATGGGCGCCTACGTCACCGGCCTGGGATTCTTCACAAACAAGCGTGGCTCTGCCTCGTGCGCCATTTCGGAGTGGACTGCACTGCTTGCCATGTTCATGTACCTGTCCTACTTCATCCTGTTCGCGGTGTTCTTTTACGGTGCTTACCTCAAGCCGAAGCGCAAGGCCGCTGTCAAGGCCGACTGAGTCACCTGCCTACTGACGGTGCTGCTCTCTTCGGGCGCTCTCTCGAAGGAAACCCCCCGCTGCCAGACGCGCGTGCGACGCGGTGTCAGGACAGTCGAGACAAGTGCACATCTTTTTTTTTTCATTTACGTTATTGCTGCACACGCTTCGCGAGTGTTTTTTTTTTTTTTTTTTGCTGTTGTTGCCTTCGGCTATTCGCAACTGCGGAAGCCCGGCAACGGACTCATTCCAATCACACAGCTTCAACGAATCGCGATGTGCGTTTATGTAAAACAGGTTGCTTTGTCGACGAGTTTGTGTCGGCGAGTGGTGACCAAGATTTCAATGGACGCTTTTTTTTCGTGTTTGTTTTGTCGTCGTGTTTTCGTCCTGCTTTCTTTGGGATTACTCTTCCGTGGCCAATGTTCATGTTTCGGAGAGCCCAGCGATAACCAGTACCTTCTTAGAATGGAATTTACAGTATTGACGTCGCACGTACCTGTGCAATGCCGATGAGCCATAGTGTAGGGACACGTTGCTCAATGAGTTGACTAGTGCCCCCAACCCTGTAGCGCGGATGACCGCTCTAGGCGCGAGTGCTCTTGATGGGTACTGATGTGCACCTAATGATGTCTTAGGCGATCAAAGAAACCACACGCTGGGTGCTTCTCTAAGCACAATTTTCACGTCACAACGTTGTACGCACAACGTCGTAAGACAGTTGAAGTGGATAGCAGTTAGACTTACTTTTTGTTGTTGCGGCTTGATTGCCAAGTTAGCGGGTGCAATACGACGGCTTGTATGACTACCTACTCTCTGCCGGCTTGAAAATGCCACGAAACAAAGGCTAACTGAGCAGAGCGTATTGTTCTAATATAAATGCACATGTTGCTAAACCTTCATGGTTACAGCGGGCCACACGTTCGTGGCAATGGACGACGAGTAGTGCCTTTTCTTCAATAGTGTGTTTGTCTCCATTCCTCTGATCGACATGAAATTTTTAACTTTTCTTTCTTCTTGAGACAATAAAAGTGCGTTCAGTTTCTTACTCATGGGTGTTGTAGTGTAGGCCAGAGCGGCTTTTTTTTTCTCAAGGAAACAAGCAAGAACTGAAGGAGGAAACCACTCCACAAAGTCCGGTTTGAAATAGAATCTTGCATGATGATCGGCACCTACAGCTTGGTCGCATGCATTGCCATGTACTGGTATGCTTCGGTAAGTTTTTTTTTCTTTTCATCTGTAAGTGTATGACAAGCGTGTAACGATATTTCTGTCACAAAATATAAGTCTATGGTTGCAAACTATCAGCTGGTCTACCACCTGGTGGCTGGTCAGGAAATAACATTCATGCCAGCTTTTTGTACTGGCCGCCCACCGTGCCTATCTGGGGTGGAGCTGTCCTCGAGTAACACTGAAAAACGCCGATTTAAACGAATGCCGATCACAGCGGGTTTCGTGATGTCGTCTCAACGCGAAGTAAGCGGTGAGCGCTGGGCCCGTATGTGGGCACTCGTGGCTGTTGAGATAGCGCGGCCGCCCTTATAATCAAAATTCGAAGTTGATAATGGAGTGGCAACCACTCCCGCCCACATCATCATCTTTCGTGCCCCTTCTCGGGTCGAAGCACGGGCGGGGCGTCCGCTTTCTGCTCGAGAAGACATCGATAGCAGGCTTCGCACGTGGGGTGAGCTTACCGCATGCGCCCTTCGTGCGATGGAGATGGCCGGCTCGTTTCAACTCCGCTTCAGCCGCGTTCTTCCACAGCGATCGCGTGCTTTTACAAGTGCGCAGAATCCATGATGTTCGTGGCGATGTTATCTGTATTTTTCGCGCCACTTGTGGCAAAAAGCAACACAGTGTCCATTTAATTGATATTGCAATAAAAAGACCGCAAAGCGTATTTGATTTTCTGAGCTCCATCGACTCATCTGCGCAGTGTTCCGTCGTTTTATCCATTACAACTATGTGAGGTGGCAGGTGGTTTAACTCATGCAGAAGAGGGTTTATTGACGTTGGGTAACAGTCTGAAAACCGGCACAGTTATGACAGTCTCGACACCAACAGTTCACGGTCGGTGCTTGCGCCACTACTGAATGGGTTGCACCTGTTCACTACAATACTGCGGCAGTGAAGAGGAGTAATCCTGGCTACCCGAGGTGTCGAGAAAATAAAGGGTTCGTCACACGGTTATCCGCGACGGACGCAGATCGTCTCGTGACCGAGGCAGCGCTTGTCAATTTGTGCTTTTATGTGAAAAGTTGTGGTAGAGGATCGATTATACATCTATAGTTGGAAAATGTGGGCCGCAGAAGAAAATATTTTGGTGCAAAGCAGGCCATAGAAGTCGCCGGCTGCAAATCCCGCCCTCTGCCGGCAACCGCCATTTTGCTGTGGCGCCTGTGTCGTGACTTGCAGCAAGGAGCGGCGCCGTAGTCTTTTACCCCCGTTTCAATTTATGCAAATTCTTGAATTTCAGTGACCAACTGAACAAAGCTCAAATATCTCGATTCGATTTCGCAAGCATCTGACCGCGTAACAATATCGTTTGCCGGAATGCAGACGCTCGTACAGCCAGGTGTTTCATATGTCACGACTCGCGAGTGTGTGATATATATATATATATATATATATATATATATATATATATATATATATATATATATATATATATATATATATATATATATATATATATATATATATATATATATATATATATATATCACTGTCTTCGTCGTTTGTGTGTGGTCAAGATGTCAAACGCCTCAGCATAACCATTTCAGAAACTGGGCTCGATTCGGAGGCGGTACCAGGTTGGTGTAGCAAAATGGTGTTGAGATGTGGTGCATGCTCCGTGACATATAAATTAAAGCATGGAGTAGACTGTGTCGCATACTATATGCGTACGTCACGAAAGGAAGAACCACGTCTCAATTAGAATTATCAGAGATACAGCACAACTCGACAATTAATTTTATCCTGGCTGCTCTCCTCGTCACAGACACATATTCTAAACAGCGAAACGGCTCTAACATCGTGTCTCTCGTAAATCCTCTCTCGTGCCCTTCGCCGTAAGACCGTGCTATTCTCAATATGGGACAAACAATTATGCCGTTGCAACTATAAAACGAATAGTCGTGAAGGGGTGCTCATCATCATCATCATCAGCCTGACTACGTACACTGCAGGACGAAGGCCTCTCCCATGTTCCGCCAGTTAACTCGGTCCTGTGCTTGCTGCTGCCAATTTATACCCGCAAACTTCTTTATCTCATCTGCCCCCCTAACCTTCTGTCTCCCCCTAACTCGCTTGCCTTCTCTGGGAATCCAGTTAGTTACCCTTAATGACCAGCGGTTATTCTGCCTACGCGCTACATGCCCGGCTTATGTCCATTTCCTCTTGTTGATTTCAACTATGATATCCTTAACCCCCGTTTGCTTCCTAATCCACTCTGCTCTCTTCTTGTCTCTTAAGGTTACACCTACCATTTTTCTTTCTATTGCTCGCTGCGTCATCCTCAATTAAAGCTGAACCCTCTTTGTAAGTCTCCAGGTTTCTGCTTCGTAGCTAAGTACCGGCAAGATACAGCTGTTATATACCTTTCTCTTGAGAGATAGTGGCAATCTACCTGTCATAATTTGAGAGTGCTTGCCAAATGTGCTCCACCCCATTCTTATTCTTCTAGTTACTTCAATGTGGTGGTTCGGCTCCGTGGTTATTGCCTACCCTAAGTAGACATTGTCTTTTACAACTTGAATTGCACTATTACCTATCTCGAAGCGCTGCTCCATTGCGAGGTTGTTGTACATTACTTTCGTTTTCTGTAGATTAATTTTAAGACCCACCTTTCTGCTCTCCTTGTCTAACTCAGTAATCATGAGTTGCAATTCGTCCCCTGAGTTACTCAGCAATGCAATGTCATCGGCGAAGCGCAGGTTACTAAGGTATTCTCCATTAACTCTTATCCCTAACGTTTCCCATTCTAGGCTTCTGAAAACCTCCTGTAAGCACGCGGTAAATAGCATTGGGGAGATTGTGTCCCCCTGCCTTACACCCTTCTTGATTGGTATTCTGTTGCTTTCTTTATGAAGCACTATGGTAGCAGTTGATCCCCTGTAGATTTCTTCCAGAATGTTTATATATACTTCATCTAAGCCCTGATTCCGCAGTGTCTGCATGACGGCTGATATTTCTACTGAATCAAACGCCTTCTCGTAATCTACGAAGGCTATATATAGTGGTTGGTTATACTCTGAGCATTTCTCTATTACCTGATTGATAGTATGAATGTGGTCAATTGTTGAGTAGCCTGTTCGAAATCCTGCTTGTTCCTTTGGTTGGTTGAATTCTCATGTTTTCTTAACTCTGTTAGCAATTACCTTTGTAAGTAGCTTGTGTACTACGGAAAGCAAGCTGGTTGTCCTGTAATTCTTGAAGTCCTTGTCATCTCCTTTCTCATGTATTAAGGTGACGTTAGCATTCTTCCAAGACTCTGGTACTCTTCCCGTCAGGAGGCACCTCGTAAACAGGGTGCACGGCTAGTTTTTCTAGCACAATCTGTCCGCCATTTTTCAGCAGATGATGTTACCTGGTCTTCACCAGCAGCTTTACCTCTTTGCATGCTCTCCAAGGCTTTTCTGACTTCTTCTATTATTACTGGTAGGCTGTCATCTGGGTTGCTGATGCTCATCATACCCAGCACTGATATATGCTAATATTTTCATGCTGAACCGTAACGTGCGCTGAAATGTACCAGCGGCTCCGCAGGCTAACGGTACTACTGGCGGGGTATACATGCACACTTTTGGGCGTAAATACATTCGCCGCTGCTGTTTGTGTCAACGACGCTGCCGAATTCACACGGTATACTGCTGCATTTACTGCGTCCAGCACGCCCATTTGACCGTGTAGGGATTTACCTGTGTGAACCACTTCCGTACCAGGCTGATGGCAATCGATCAATAATTGTGGCCGTAGACCACTGGCCAGCCATAATGGCGAAGCACATGCATATATATATATATATATATATATATATATATATATATATATATATATATATATATATATATATATATATAATATATATATATATATATATATATATATATATGCATACACAGGCATACATAACGTATCGCTGAATCTCCAGTTTTTAGTTAGTTTCCTTGTAGTGCACTTAAAACACCCAGAACAAAATGAAGGCACGTATATTGCCATAGAGGGCACCCTGAGTGTCTAAATGTGCCTTCATTTTGTCCTGAAGGAAAGTGTAAGTTTGAGCTTGTTTCTCTGTTGGACACAATATTCGTGAAAACTAACAGATTATATATTGCCAGGGAAAGTATAGGGGATGTTATTAGAAGTTATTGTCTATTGCAAATGGCAAGAAGGAAAAGCGGACGAAAGGATAACTTGCCACAGGAAGGACCCAAACCTGCGACATTCGAATAACGCCTCCGATGCTCTACCCATTGAGTTACGGAGGTGGTTATCCCCGCATTTTGATGCGATAGCGTTAAAGAGCTTGTGTCGCAGAAAATCCGCCGCTGGCGGCCCCGTTGGTTGTCAGCGAAAAATCGTATGTGCGTCTGTGACCGAAAAATCAAGTTACCGAGATGGTCACGGAAGGCCGCTACTTGTCTACGCGTGCGCGCGCGACCACACTGAAATAGCCGCGCTTTTGAAGAAAAAAAAAAGTGCTCAAGGTCACGAGGCGCGGTAGTTTCTTTGCCCTGCCACCCCTCCTGCTTACTGTCCAGCGCTTTCGTCGGGACGAGAGAAGAGATAATGCAATAGCAGCATGCGACAAATCTTTGTAACTCCACTAGCACTGGACGGATTCTTAAAATTTTTGTGGGGTCGAATTCGCGAGGCAATAAGCTTTTCTAGCGAATTCATTCCATGGTTACTTGAAAAAGTGTTTCATGGCCCCTTTAACGCATTTTGTTCGACAGGAGTCACGACGAAAACGAGCCCATTCGGCGATAATAGAGCGTGCTGGTCCAATCTACTGTGTGCGTGCGCGTGTGTGTAAAAAACATATGA